GCTGTTCAGTTGCTTTGACACAATCTGTATTGTTAAAAGCGCTATATAAATAAAGGTGACTTGACTTGACTTGACTTAGCTTAACGCAGTACACGTAGCAATGGTTTTTTAAATAATATAATAAATAAAAAGAAAACAGATAGAATAGAAAAAGAATAGAGCAAGCTAGTGTTAGAGGCCTTTTTTTACTTTTGTTAATCGTATAATCAATAAAAAGAAAACAAATAGATAGAATACAAAAACATTGGAAAAGCTAGTGTTGTTTTTTTTGTTGTTTTTTGTTTTTTTTAAACAAGCAGTAAATGAATAGAGAGCAAGTTTAAAAGGGACAATGTTTTTTTTTTTTTTTTAGAATAGAATTAGAATAGAGAGTGCTAGAGTTATATGGTCAAATAAAGATGGAAGAGATGTGATTTTAGCCGATTCTTGAAGATGGCTAAGGACTCAGCTGCTCGGATTGACATAACTCTGAAGTAATGAATTTAGGTAAAGGGGTGCAGAGCCAGTGGTGGTTTTGTAGGCAAACATTAATGCCATTCATTTTATGCGAGCAGCTATTGGTAGCCAGTGCAAACTGATAAACAGAGGTGTGACATACATTCTTTTCGGCTTATTAAAAATTAATCTTGCTGTCGTGTTCTGGATTAATTGTAAAGGTTTGATAGAACTGGCTGGAAGACCTGCCAAGAGCATTGCAATAGTCCAGCCTGGACAGAACAAGAGCTTGAACAAGGAGTTGTGAAACAGTTCCGAAAGAAAGAGCCTGATCTTCTTGATGTTGAACAAAGCAAATCTGCAGGACCGGGCAGTTTTAGCAATGTGGTCTGAGAAATTCACCTTAACATCAATCATAACTCCAAGGTTTCTGGCTGTTTTTGAAGAAGTTATGGTTGATGTGCCTAACTGGATGGTGAAATTGTGATGAAAAGATGGGTTTGATGGAACCACAAACAGTTCTGTATTGGCAAGGTTGAGTTGAAGGTGATGGTCCTTCATCTATTATATATCATCTATCCTTCATCCCTATTATATATTACAAATCTTTCCTATATATCCTTTCTAATCCCAACATGCATTGCAACAAGCTCAATATTGTTTAAGAATTGGGCTAAAACAAAAACATATTTTAGGCAAGGTAAATAATTTTACAACTCTATTTTATATTTTAGTTTCGGTAGATTATTAGAACATTATTATTTTTTTACATGTTTTTGACAGTTTATTATATCATGCTTACTTATAAAGAAATAATCAAAATATTATATACAGTATGTGATATATCAATTGCTGACTTGTCCGTGTTCTCTCCTGTATGTAAGATGTTCTAAATCGGTCACTTATGAGGTTTTATTTCAGTTAGGGTGCTGCCTTAGAATGTAGGTAGCAAGACTGCTCACTAGGTTTTAGAACTGCAGTTTTGGCTCTAGGTGTACTGAGTTTGTGTATTTATATTCTGAACTGACATGACTACCTGGCTGAATTGATGATAAACCACTAAGGGCCGAATACCTACGATAAGAATGAATAAACAGTCTCAAAGGTTAGCATACAAACTGTTTTCTACACACACTTTTGGCTCTTTGATGCAGCTTGATATTAAACAATATTGACTCTCGAGTCACGTCAAAGAAAATACACACACATTTACAGACAAGTACCCCTTCCAGCCCATTAATATTTTAGATGATTTGATTACATAATGATAGTAGACTGGTACTTCAGACAGATTTGATAAGAATTAACTTAAAATGGCTGCCTTGCCTATAAAAAAAATGCCCACAGCGCCTCTGAAGTGGATAGTTATGTAAAGGCTCTGTCATTCCTAGCCTCCACGGGATGGCATGTACCCTGTCTAATCCCAGTCTAAATATTATGCTAATGACTAGCCGGAGCCCACGATAATATGACTCATAGTGTGCAGTGATATGTTGAGTTGACGTGTTTCAGACCTCTCTTGTTTGTGAAGGTGAGCTTAATTTCCTCCAAGATCCAAAGAGGGGATTTTTTTTGAAGGTTGTGTTGGTGCCATGTTTATGAATGCATAAAGGGTGACATTTGAATTGCACGGGCAAAGCATGACATTTGTATTGGTACAAAGCTGGCTATGCAAGTGTGTATGGCGATTTATTATTCCACATATATTTTGTTGCAGTTTGTATTCTGTCATAAGAGTACTTTCATGGGAAACTTCAAAAGCATCAAAGTCTTTTACATTCCCGCCCTCTGATCCCCTTCATATCATGTTTTGATTGAGCAGGAAATCATTTTCCAACACTCTCTTACAGGGGACTGGGAAATTTTGATCTCTGTGGAGAAGTTTTTTTTTTTCTTTTTTTCTCACAGGTAGCTTGACGCACTTTAGGAAGTATTGCTTTTTCTCTCAATGCTGTTGTTTTATTGGGCAAATAAATCAATAGTTGTTTTCTGTTGTTATACAAATCGAGAGGAAAAATGAGCACAGTGGGGCAACGAATTGTTTGTTTATGCGGCACACATTAGCTAAGTGTAATTAGAGTTTGGTGAACAGATTTGTGTTTGGGTATTAAAGCATAGCCCTAAATTACTCGTCTGAATCATGATTGTTTACTCCTTGCTGTGTTTCTATGTAAAAACTTGTTTTTTGTTGCTTGTGTGTGTGTGTGTGTGTGTGTGTGTGTTCCTGTTGCATTGTATTAGTAATTGATTTTCACATTGTTTTTTTAGCGGGTCTAACTGATGTTTACTTAACATTAAAATATGAGGTATTCAGCAAATGTGGTGTTTCATATTCTGATTGCAACTTGCTGTGGTTTAAAAATTGCCAGAACCACAAGTTTGTGTGTCTGACAATATGAGCTGTGTTGCAAAAGCCAAGCATTGTTAGACTAAAATGTGTCATGGCTTTTCAGAATAAATATTAACAATAACACCACATGGAAAGGCCAATAGATAAATCTATCAGCTCACTGACTGTATTCCAATCGGGGCAGCTGGTCTCATTAAATTCAGATGCAATTGGATGAGAAAATGGTTGCATCTTTGCATTGAATCCGGAGAGTATTGAGTTCTAAGAGGACAGCGTATGGGTCGCAAATTTAACTAGCTATCAAACGGCACCAACCAAACACATCAGAGATCTCTGTCACATGAAAGGAATAACATGAATATGTTGCGTCTGTTCAAATCAAATAACTAGTTTTTACAAAGACAACAAAGATTAATTCAGTAATTCCCAGAGGAATACATGAATGCTCAGAAGTATTTCTGTAAAATTATCTGAATTATTGGGGATAAAAGCAAAGTGGTAGGGTTGGTAAGATTTTGTTTTTTTTATAGTTTTGAAAAAAAAAATTCTTATGATCACCAAGTCTGCATTTATTTGATAAAAAACTGTTAAAAAAAAAACAGTCCAAGTCCAAGCATTGTCCATTTAATCACCATTTATTATTATTGAAGTATACAGGAAACTGATATTAACAGTTCACATTTATGATTTTTCTTTCTTTTCAGTAGATGGATGTGAAAAAAGAAAAAGACATTAGAAAGAAACTCCCTCTGCTTATGTTCTGAAATAAACTCATTTACGTGTAAAAATCTATAGGCTGTTAGTGTAATCAATAGTTCTTTATGTGCACGCCATGAACTTACTGTGACCTTTCTGCATTTCTTCAGCTCGCCACTTGGGACCCCATCCACGGACTGAACGGGACACTGACAGATCGAAAGCTGGAGAACAACATGCGTGGGGTGGTCCTACGGGTGGTCACTGTACTGGTACGTACCGTTACAGCTAATAATGTCAAGTCAAGGGCTTTACACGTCATCTTGCAGCTACAATAGTCCTCATAACTACAAAGTTTTACAAGATGTCAGTGCTCTATTATTCACCGTTGCTCAGAGATGTCTTTCCCTTGACCTCTCTAATATAAATGACATCAGACTGACTTAATTAGGACTTCCCATGTCTCGGAGTTCCTCTGTTTGACTGGACCTCATAAGGTTGACGTAACCCCAGAGTAATCCATATTCATTCCAGTGAGCTCCAGAAGTCTGTTCACATCAAGTCACCCATCTCTAAGTTCATTAAGAGTGAATTTTGGGGTGCGATGAACGGAGGCCAGGGGAGCTGGGTTATATTGAGATTTGAGTTTTGCTATCTACCCTCCAGCGCTGATTTGAGTGAGTCCCTGGAGTTCTTTAAAGATTCAGAGGTTTAAATTCTTCATATCCCTGCTTTGAAGTCGGTCGGAGAAGAAAGCGGTGATGCTGCTTCTCTGCGTCTTTCCTCTCACTCTCCTTTACCCCTCTTTTTCCTTTATTCTGTGATTTCCCGCTGTGACAGAATGCTCTGAAGAACTTGCGCCCATAATCGCTAACAATGAGCAATCGTTGGAGGCTGTCAAGTTAAGTGAAAGTGAAAGTGACGTGACATGTGGCCAAGTATGGTGACCCATACTAGGAATTAGTGCTCTGCATTTATCCCATCCTAAGTGCACACACACAGCAGTGAACACACACACACTGTGAACACACACCCGGAGCAGTTAATGCACCTCCCCTAGTGGCGGATGAGGTTGGAGGGGTATAGAACTGAATGCACGCATGCACATGTTGGCAAACTGTAGATACTGGAGGACAGTAAGAGGGTATCACAGTTTAAATTGAGAACTGAAACATTGTGTGGCCCAGACAGTATCTGGAGACTTCTGTAAATATGGTAAATTGTGTATTGTCTTACTGGTCACTGACTGCATAATCACATTACAGTAGATCAAATATTTAACAAACAAACAAGCACACTAGCACTTAGAGGATCTGTGGAATGTATAAAAGATGAGTGATGCAATTTTTATTAAGTCTAAATAAGTTTCTTAGCTCCTGTAAAATTTGCAGACAGTGAACCAATTGAACTTGAACTAAGTTACAACATTTGCCTTATGATATATGTGTAGAGTTTGTTGTTACAGTACTTTTTTTGTCATTTTGCACATTATTATTAACTAAAATGTTATTTTTGTTGAAAAATACAGTAATACATTTTTAAATTGATCTCGTGGGATGACATTGATCTTGTGGGGTATCTCTGATATTATTTCCTGCAAGCCTTAATGCTCAAATCTGATTTTTATTTATTTATTTATTTGTTTTTATTTTATTTTTTATTTTTTTTGTGGCCAGTATCAGATTTGAGTATAAACTGTTCATGGCCCCTAACTGACATAGGGACTTAAACATGGAGGACACTGAAATCAGCGCGTACAGTGCCCCTATTATGCCATTTTTAAGGTTGCTAATATTGTTTTATGAGTCTCCTAAAACAGGTTTACATGCATGCAAGGTCAAAAAACACGTTAGTTTTCTCAAAAAATAGATTTAATTTTAACTCCTTTCTAAATGATTCGTAAACGACTCGTGCGAAGCAGTTCAAAGAATCAGTCTCTCTAAACCCCTCCTTTCCTTGAGCCCTCACTGCTGTGATTGGTCAGATGGCGCAGTCCTTTGTGATTGGTCCAGAGCCGTAGAGAGCTTGGCTCTGGATTGGTCTACCACGTACAGCGCGTGTCGGAAACGAAACTTCCATTGCCATGACGGAATGACAGCCCTAGAGACTAGTCAATACATAGAAAAGATGGTATCGATTGTACCTTACCAATTTGAGCCGGATTCTGATGATGAAACGGTTGAACTGGCTGATCGACAAGAGACTGGAGCAGGACGTTTCTCAGTGGTAAGTGTCAAGTGTTAACAAGTTTGTGGTAATTACAAATTTACTCTCACAATGTAGGATACAGCGTCTTCTCGCCATGATCTTAACCACATGGAAATTTTACTGTTTGTGGGTGGGCAAGTTGGTGACGTAGAACGTGTGCAGACATTATGCAAATGTGTTACTTCGTGACATAGACCAGTAACAGAATAAGATTCGAATTCCTGACGACTCGTTTAGGCGATTGCGAGCCGACTCTTTTTTATAGACAATAACTTTATTTATCGTGCACTGTCGGCTTCACAACTTTGCAGATAGTTTATGTTCACATACAGCTACATGACACACTGCATGAAAGGTAATATTCGAAAAGGCATAATAGGGGCACTTTAACATGTTCATTTATAAGCTGATGTGTACAGGCAATAGAGAGAATGAAGATGGGGATGAGAAGGAGGAGAGGAAAGTTCTACTTTCATACTTTTCAGATGCAAAATCAGATTCCATTTGGTTTTTGCTGTTCACACTGTTATGAAAAAACAGATCTGAGTCACATGAGCACAAAAAACAGATTTGGGCCACTTTTGCCTGGAGTCTGAACATAGCATTATCAATTAATCTTATTATTTTATAGTGTTATCATGTCAATATTCGGTATCTATTATGAATGAAACAGAGTTTGTCTTATCTGTACCACTGGAACTGAATGTTCTGCTCAAAGACCCCGGGATAATAAGATGACGACTTTTATTTGCAGTTCACAGGTTTTCCAGCCAGGCATTAATCTACATTCTTTCCATTGAGACTAATTGAAGCTGTGATGTCCTAGAGTGCGAAATTGTAATTTCTAGTTCAAACATTGCATTAAAATCAGGATGAATTGTTCCTCAAAAATTAAAGAAAAAACGAAGAAAGATAGAGTGCCAGTGCAGTACCATATAGCCTTGTGGTGAAGCATATGGTTAGGGAGGCGGGGAGCTTGGAACCATGGGATATGTTGTCATTTGTAAAGTAAACCTTCAGGTGGATGGGGAAGGCACATGCTCCCTGCTGGTGGCTGATGGAGCGCTCCCTTCGGTCTTACAGCTAGTTGGTAACGGCCCGCTGGATCCTTGCAACTTAAACTCCCAGCTGCCCCAGTGGCAGGCGTGTCAGGATACACGACATGCCAGCTCTGACAGCTCTTCACCAGTCTGAGAAATGCTGGTGTTGTTCCAAACACCAAAACTGACTGAGAACACACACACACATCTGCCGTGAAACCTTGCAGTCTCAATGCACCATGACACATGTTTTTGATTCACTCACCAGTGGATCATAGCTGCATGCATGAGAGAATCTTCAAAACGTCTGTAGAAGATGGAAGACTGAAGTAGTATATTCGTATGAATTAATAATGAAGTTATATGAATTTTTAATCCATTATATGAATTAATATGAATTATTAATAAACACATATATAGACAAAAAATTATAAATATTGTTTTAATTCATACATAATCTTCATTGCATTGTTTGATATTATCACATGGGATTTTACAACCTAAACTAACCTTATCATAACAATTTTAAATAATCTTTTTTAGATTTGAAATGATGTTTAAAGAGACTTATTGATCTCAACAGGAGCCTGCGGGGATCCTCTCTATGATATAATTTCCTGTTCTGTGTTCCTGCACTGTATGATTTGATTTGGCAAACTAAAGTTTTTTTTTCAGATGTAATTTTTTCTTAGAAAAAAAATAGTAAAAAGTATATCATAATTTTAACTATATTTTGATATATACTATATCCGATATGTCGATGAGTTTGTTTCTTCATTGGAACAGATTTGGAGAAATGTATCATATCACTTGCACATCAATGGATCCTCTGTAGTGAATGGGTGCCGTCAGAATGAGAGTCCAAAAAAAAACATCACAATAATCCACATGACTCCAGTCCATCAATTAATGTCTTGTGAAGTGAAAAGCTGTGACTGTGTAAGAGACAAATCTATAATTAAGGCGTTTTAACTTTATCTCTTCTAACTATCTCTTCTCTTCTGAAGTCCATAATCCAAAATAATGCTTTCTGTAGTGAAAAAGTCCTTCCCCTTTTAATAATGTAGTCCCCATCTTAATGGTGAATGTGTTTATTGCAAACACAGCAATTTGCTTCACAAGATGTTAATTAATGGACTGGAGTCATGTGGATTACTTCTGAATTACTGTGATGTTTTTATCAGCTGTTTGCACTCTCATTCTGACGGCACCCATTCACTGCAGAGGATCCATTGGTGACCAAGTGATGTAATGCTAGATTGCTCCAAATCTGTTCCATTGAAGAAACAAACTCATCTCTCTTAAATAGCCTGAGGGTGAGGAGATTGTCAGCAAATTTTCACTTCTAGATGAGCAATTCCTTTAACAAATAGTGTCACGACATGAACCATGCATACACGCAGCAACAGTGCTTACAGAATGATGTTTATGTTTGCAACATGCATCACCTTAGCCTGTGTTGATCCATGCCTGCTATTGATTTCCATAGTAGCGGCAGAGATTGTCCACAAGATCCGTGTGAATTTGAACCACTGCACATGCAGTCATGTGGAAGGGATGGCCGTATAATGAGAGAGGGAATCGATGCAACATGGGTTGAACACGGGTGTGGGGAGCTGTACACCTTCTGGGCCGGCTCAATAAGAGCAAGGCTACATCTCAATACAGATAAAAAACCACACTGGAGGAATCCTGTTAAAAGGGTCATTGTCGCTGTGCTTTTGCCCATGGTCTAAGTGCTACAGATATTCTTCAGATCATGCTGATGGCCAATTGAAGAATTGGAAGAATCCGGCAGGGGTCTTGCACAGGTCCCTCAGAGGGAAATGTGATAGATGGCACCTCTTGGCTGTAGTGCAAGTTTGCATGCATATCCTCACTTCCTCTAATAGCTTATTGAGCGAGGGGGGGTCTGGTGAGGATTAGAAAGCGCTGGCTTAATGTGCAGGCTGCATGCAGTCAATAAAGGCAGCTCCTTCCATGATAAATCTGCCTGACATATTCCCAGAAACACTTCAGACATCAATAGGGATTTGTTTAAGAGAATATGAAAAATAAGCAGCGGCTATTATTTTCACTGGGCTGCTGGCGCTACGCTAGCGTGGTATTGGTTCGTGATAGTACGTTTGCAGAGCTGTTGGAGACTCTGGAAGGAGATGTTTGCTGGTCACATGATGGTTGGTCATTGGCCTTTAGATAGCAGCTGTGTGTTGAATACAGCCATTCAGGCCTAGCTAAGTTGAGCTCCTCCAACATCTGTGGTTCATTTTTTTTTTTATTTCTTTATTTTGCATTTAGACTAAAATATATAAGCCGTTATTCACTGATAAGGGAAGGGAGGGAGGTTTTTCTCAAAATAAGGACCTATTCCTCACACATTATATGGCTTCAGAAGACTTTTAACTTTTTTTTTTTTTTACACTTTTGGAGTTTTCAGAGTTGACATGAACAGTAGTTCTATAGAAAAAAGGAACATTTAATTTCTGTAAAATTTCTCCTTTTGTGTCCCATAGAAATGTTAACATCATACCAGTTTGAAATGACGTGAGACGGAGTAAATGTCTCTGTTTAATTTGACAGTGTTTTTCTTCTGGTTCTGTTTGGAATGTAGCACCCAGAATACATTGATTCTTTGTAGCTTTTAAGATGTGAAGAGCTTAAAAGTCTTGAGTCTGAAAAATGTTGAATAAATGGTTGTATGTTGAATGAATATGGCTTTTGAGAGGTATGTTTTGAGAGTGTGTGTTAAGAAAAATAAGAAGTGGGGCTACCGTTGGTCGTTTTGGTTTTGATCAAGATGGCTAGATTAACCATATGTGCCCACTGTGATGCTTTAATGTGGTTCTGAAGACTTCTTTCCTTTGTAATTTCGAGTTTTCAGTTTCTTTCAGAACCTAGAGTTGTGGCCTTCAAGTTAGTCTTGAACAGTCCTTCTTTTAGAAGCCTCATGATTTTCAGAAACCCCCTCAATATTTTTCATTCTACCCTCCCAGAAGTTCAACTGATAGGGTTGTGAGAGAATAGTGCAAATGTACATATATCTCTGTCATACTTCCATAGTTTTGGGAACTTGCTTGTCCTTGAGTCGTTTCTTTTCAGCATTACTGAGGACGTTTCCACTGTTAACATAGAGTCCTCGCTAAACTTCCTCCTTATAAAAATTCCTCCTTATAATTTTCTCTGTGTGACCTTCAGAAACTCTCCAGGGCCAGTTTGGCAGTGTATGACAATGTTTGTAGACCTTTTATGAAACACCAGTAGGCCCAAGGCTCAGACTAAATCCAAATCGCATCATATCCACCTCCACAATAGTATGCCAAACTGGTTTTGGAGATCCAAGGAGACTCCGCTCGTCTTTATCAGTGGAGAACGACTAATCAATTGAAATGGTGGCCGGTCTCGCTGCTTCAGAGGAATGGTTTCTTCAGCCATAGGCAGAGCTAATGCTTGTATGATGAGTATGAATCCGGGTATATATGAAGAGTTCATTTGCAAAAACCGATAAACGCCACTTTAAAAAAAGAAGTCCACATATTCTCTACATATAGCGCGATCTGAACTATATCCCTAAACACGTTTTGTCAAAAATGCCGGTTTTGTCTACTTTCAAGGCATCGCGAGTTCACGTTTTACTGCAGAAGCCGACAATCGCCCTTGTTGTTTTTGAACAGAAGCCGATAAGTCCATTTTAGCGATTCAGCGCGCTGTATTCAGGTCAGGTGACAAGGCTACTTTCACTTTGAAAAGACGTGCTAGCTGAGAGGAGTTTCGTCAAAGCTTACTAAAAGTGATCGAGGATGGATAATTTCGACTAACTTGATGAACCTGTGACATCTTCTTCAGGGCGAAAAAGGAAAATAGAAGCTGAAACGCTGTTCCCTCACAATGGTGAGGGAACAGCTCCGTGTATTGCGTTAAGTTAATCACATCCATAAAGTTTATGATCACAACAACAACAAAGTTTGTCATGCATCTACATTGTCATCTGAGGAGATTACAAAGATTAAACGAGTGTTTTTTAAACTCTAAAACGTGTGGAGTTATCTGCTTTGGCCAAAAAACGATTGTTAGAGTTATCTACTTTTGCTATAAAACAAACTTTTAACATGTAAAAAAACATACTTTCAATGAACTTTAATTTTGTAAATTACCTGTATTTGTTTAAGTTATTATTACTTAATCAAAACAACCCAACTGCAGTTTGATTGATATTAACGTTACTTGGAATGCGCAATAAAAAAATGTGATTTCTGAAAAAAAATAAAATAAAATGTTATGGGTTTTTGCAAATGAACTCTTCATATTTTTCCTTTAAAATACTTTTCGTAAAGACTTAATTTATTTGATGTGAGCACAGTAAAACCTTAAATCCGTAATTGAGCATTAGGGATCTTATGAGTCAGTCAGAACCCACTATGAATAATGTATGACTGACAAGGACCATCAAGTTAAGTAATGTTTTGATAAATGTGAATCTTTATATAGAATTGAGAGAGAATGGTTTGTTCTGACCACTTTCTTACTGAACATAACGTTTTTGTTATTATTTCCGAGTATTCATGCCTTCATTTTCATTCCAGAAAATTATGAACTAAACTGTTTGAAGTAAACCATGTAAATGTCTGGAGAAACTCCACTTTCACTACTTTTAGTATGATAATGTTGGAACGCTAATAATTTAGCATGTCACTGCTGAGGAAGTGCTGTTAAGGCCGATCTTCCCTGGTGTGACAGTGAGACAGTTTCCTCTTTGAAATGAATCAGAGATCGTCACTAGATGTTCTTTACACAAATATGCCATTTAATTTGATTTGTTTCCTATTTATTTGATCAAAATTGAGATTATCATTATCATAGCATTATCATATAAATAATTTATAGATTTTATGTATTAAATATAAACAAATATATCAAAACAGGAAAAAACTGAAAAATAAATATGCCTATTTTAAAGAATAATTTATGCAGTCTTGACATAATGTTAATTTTAAAAATATACATCTACACTTTTCTATTCGTTGCCCTTCTGTTTGTCAAGAGAACAGTCTTATATTTATGAAAATATTTATACAATTAAACTTTAATTTTTTATATAAATAAAAACTACTACTGTGTACTGTGTATTGGTATTTTCTTTCTTTTTTGAGCTTATTTTCTGTTACAGTTTTTTTTTTTTCCTAAAGGCCTGCTGTGTCATATACTGTATATCCTTTTCCAGGGTTCCTTTAGTTCCTCTCTGGCTGGAGTTCAAACCCGTAGTCTTTGTAAGATCAGCCCAGATCCTCCTGTATTCTCTGTAAAATTCACTCAACTACCCTAAAAACAAAGCTATACATATTTACTTTCCTCACATTACTCTTGATTGGATATGATGTGGCACTAATTCCCCTCTGACTTTTTTCTCGGAATTATTCCACAGCTCATAAGAGGTTAAAGCCAAGTGACATTAAGCTTTAGCCCATATACAGCAGCATTGCCTCCTGCTGAAAATAAAATCTAATTATGAGCATTAGCTAAGCTGCTGTAGGAGCTTATGCGTCTGCTTCAGGTAAACACTTGTGTCAGCTCCAGAAACAGATCTGCCACCCTCAGAATCATGAACGTCAAGCTGTGTTCTCAGTAGACTATTTATGATACCCTGTTGACTCTAAAACCGGTGCCCTCACTTACCTCAATGTCCGTAGGCATTACCATTGGACTGTTTTTGTATGTGTCTCTTAATACTCTGTGACTGTTTTTGTTGCTTTTAGCTCAATGATTTAGTCCCTTTATAAGCTGATATAATGATTTCTCTGCTATTGCTCTTTCCAGGAAGAACCATTTGTGATGGTCTCAGAAAATGTGCTTGGCAAACCTAAGAAGTACCAGGGTTTCTCAATCGATGTACTGGATGCTCTGGCCAACTACCTTGGCTTCAAATATGAGATCTACGTGGCCCCTGATCACAAATATGGCAGCCAGCAGGCTGATGGAACCTGGAATGGTCTTATAGGAGAACTGGTTTCTAAGGTAAGACACAATGTCTATCTGGATGTGCAAAATATTGAATTGGGGAGCGTGACTTTAAATTGCATTTAGCTACACCCTCAGGAAGTTGGATTGGAATGACAGAAGAAAAATGTATTCGTTGCATTCTGGGAATGATGGTATTTCCACCCTAGTCCTCAAAAGTCCTCAAAATCAATCAATCGTGCAATATGTCTGTGTGTCTATCTATCTGTCTGGCTTCAAACTTCACCCTTGTATAACTGACATGTTTAAAATTCAGATTTAAATGCGGCAAAACTTTGCTCATTTATGTATACGTTGTGTATGTATACAACATATATAAAACATAAAACATGTATATGTTTTGACACTACATGGTCAAAACTACTATATGTGAACACCCCTTATAATAATGAATTGGCTATTTTAGACCATTTTTTAAAGCGTTAGTTCACCCAAAATGAAAATTCTGTCATCAATTACTCACCCCCATGTCGTTCCAAACCAGTAAGACCTTCATTCATCTTCAAAACACAAATTAAAATATTTTTGATGAAATCCAAGAGATTTCTGACCCTCCATAGACAGCAACACAACTGACACATTCAAGGCCCAGAAAGATAGTAAAGACATTGTTAAAATAGTCCTTGTGACATCAGTGGTTCAACCTTAATTTTATGAACTGAATTTTTGCGTCGTGGTACTCTTGTGAACATGCATTGAAGACTGACACAGAAGAGAAGAAATCGTTGGATTATTTTTGCTTTCTTTGCGCTCAAAAAGTATTCTCATAGCTTCATAAAATTACAGTTGTACCACTGATGTCACATGGACTATTTTAACAATGTCCTTTCTACCTTTCTGGGCCTTGAACGTGGTAGTTGCGTTGCTGTCTATAGAGGGTCAGAAAGCTCTCATTTCATCAAAAATATCTTCATTTGTGTTCTGAAGATGAAAGAAGGTCTTATGGGTTTGGAATGACGTGATGCTGAGTAATTAATGACAGATTTTTCATCTTTGGGTGAACTAACCCTTTAAGTGTTAATGCTTATTTAAAGCTGAAAGTACCATTTCAAACTATTTTAATGATGCAGAATTATTTTAGCGCAGTCAGCACTGCCTTTGATTTGCCTACCATAATACAGTCTGGCTGAATGCTGCAGACTTGTGTGCTTTGCATTGGCTATTTTGGGCTTTTCAATTTCCCTAATATTCCCAAACAGTCTGCACTACTTTGATAAAAAAGAGCGCAGATTTCTTACATGTGAATGAGGGAAAACCTCATACTGAAATGTTGTCCACTGGCAGATAAACAAAAGGCAAATCTCGCAGCAGTGAGAGGTCAGATACACATTTTCAGGGCCATTACTCCAAAACTCCCGCTGTTTTCCATTCCACAGCTTTTTCAGTTCTGCGACACACCTCCATCCCTACTGCTTTCTGCGCTGAGAATATTCCTCACCGCTGTTCGGTCAGAGGAACAGAAACATGAGCCACAGTGTACTGCTGCTTATCTTCATTTCCAGAGAGATAGACCAAAACGCAAGGAAAATATTAAGGATCACTAATCCCATTGTTACAGTCTCTGTTGACACATTGTTTTCCAGCAACTTCACATCTGTGTGCTTTTATGATACACAAGACCTTTGATGTTTTATTGCAATTCGGTATTTCAGCAAAAGAGGTTTTGATTTTTTGTTTGCTTTTTGTGTTCTAATCTTATAAAAACAATTTTTAAAAGGCTGTTATGACATGATACAACAGGCCAGGACATTACAAAGGGGGAAAACATTTTTTTAAACTACAAATGTTTGGGGTCAATACGATTCATTTATTTATTTATTTTTTAAGAAATTAATATTTTTATTCAGCAAGTGTGCATTAAAATGGATGACTGAAATGACAGTGCAGGCTTACATTGTTACAAAAAAAAAAAATCTTTAAAAAAATGCTGTTCTTTTGAATTTGATTAGAATCCCGGAAAAAAAAAAAAGCATGTTACAGTTTTTGAAGGATCATGTGACAAGTGAGTTAATGGCTTCTGAAAATCCAGCTTTGTCATCAAAGGAATAAATTATATTTTATAATGTATTAAAATAGAAAACAGTTATTTTAAGATGTAATAATATTTCGCAATATTACTGTTTTACTGCATTTTAAAACAAGTAAATGCATTCTGGGTAAGCATGAGAGACTTACTTAAAGCATCAAATCTTACACACTTTTGAACTTCAGTGTATATTTATATATACTGCAATATTTACACCTAAACACTTGTGTAGATGCTCACACAGAATAATATTCTTTTGTGCCAAGCTTTACTTGGAATATCATTATCAATCTGTATACCCATACAGTATATTACTTTTGCAGCATATGTAACCATTCTGCTTTTCTAAGCATTTTTTTACTTGACAGACCATGAAATTAGCAGATTTAGTCAGCTGTGAGTTAATTGTGTGTGTGTGTGTGTGGTGGCATAAAATGACACCAGGACATAGTGCTTACTTTATGTACATGACTTTTTTTCTTGTTACACAATAGATGTAGATGTAGATGTGTCATTTGTTGATTGCTTTACAAAATCATCAATATGTATTGGAAGCCATTGCTGGCTGGCTAGAATCCTGTTAGCTAAGCTCAAGTAAAAAAATAAATAAATAAAAGGTGCCCATTAGTTAAAAATGTTGAACTGTTTCAATTTGCACTTAGACATTTTATAAAGCCAGCACTTGACAATCTTTTTTTATATACTATTTTCACAAGTAAGTGGTGAATTTTTCAAAGCTCTTAGTACTCTCCTAACAACTCATCAAAAGGTCATTTTTTTATACAATATTACAGCATATTTGCAATTGACTTGGTATAATAGAAAAAATCACCAAGTATCACAAAAACAAAGTGTTTCATCAATACATAGCCGTCATTTCATTTAATCGTACTCATTACTTAGTTAATGTTGGATAAATATCACAGCTATTATGGATTTAGGATGTCTATTTGTTCCTCAATTGATAGCTCTGCATTACAAAACAATTAAAAAAATCATTCAGCACCTCTAAGGGGCAGTTTGAAACATGTATTTTGTATTATTTGCTGTTGAATTAACTGCTGAACTACTATTACTAAACTGAAAGAAAAACAACTAAATCAAACTAAAACTTTCTGCAGCTTAGATCATGAGGTACACTTTTTGAACAAGAGTTTTGAGATGTATTAGTGTCAGATGACAACAATTTATCTTAAAATATCACAGAAAATTTGATTCTTCTCATATGACCCCTTAAATTTAAGTAATAATTCAACAAAAAGTTAGTTCAGTAGATTTGTATTGGTGTACCACTTACATAAAGTCAGTCTATCCAGTCCTCTATTCTGAAAGGGTAGTTTGTCAGGCCCTTGTTATAAAGCAGGCAGTCTGGTACTACCAAGTTTCAGGGTCGAGACAATCAGAGAGGCACTTGTTGTGTGGATTAACATTTGAGAAGTGATCCAGGCGCCGGATGCTTCTCTAACCCTGCTCAAACACAGAGGTCCTGTGGGGGTCCCTGATCTCTGAAGGTGGCCAAGGGGGTTAATGGGGGCCAGACAGGTGACACTGGCTCTCGCCCTATGATAATGACATGCCTTTGTTCGGCCGATGGTAATGTCTCTTGACAGGAAGAGGTCTCATCTAATCTCACCGCTGCAGTGCACACCAAGTCACAATCATTTCCAGAACTGCCAAAAAAGAAAGAAAACATATTAGATGTTGTTTAGCATTTAAAAGCCATAGAAACAATTTTAGTTTTGGCAGCAGACGGTATTACCTCAGTATTCATTGGAGAAAGATGTGGATATTTTTATTTATTTATATTGCGATTGGGGACATTGAGGAGTGCTGTAAATTTTTACGCTTACTGATTGAACATAATGGAAATGATCATTTATCATTGAGCTGATTTCTTTTTGAAGATGAGATAGCAAGTGGATTTTTACATTTCAATATGTTTGTATCCAAGTATTGAAGATGGATGTTTTTTACACTGTGTTTCTCCATATAAACACAAGGACTAATGATATTTTAAATCACTTTTTTATCCAAAATAACTTGTATTGGTTCAAGGCATTTTTCAGTCCCTGAACCCAGGAGTTGAAACCATGACCTTGATGTTGCAAGCCCCATGCTCTACTGTTTAAGCTACTGGTGCAATATTTACCAGTATGTAATGATAAATGTAGTAGAATCTAAATTATTAATACATTATAGTAAAGGTCGCAACCTATTATAATAATTAAAACATTTATTTAAAAAAAAAAAT